TTCTAACTAGTTCAGGACCAGACTTTTTAAGGACTGGACTGGGACTGGACCAGACGGACTTTTTAACATCCCTATAATTAATTAATAGGGCAAACTATTTATCGCCGGCAGTTACAGTTTCAATGCACGATTTAAACCTTCAAAATTCTGCCTATAATATCATTGTTAACAAAAACTATTCCTTGCATAATTATACTATATACCCATGTACCGTGAATTCTCAGGGAGAGTTATGGCCCAAATTAAGCTTAGGCTAAATTTCGAAATTACACCCTGGGCGTTGTTACTAAATATAGCTTTAAATAAAATCCGATTACTGTCACCGGTGACAAGTAGATTAACCCATTTTTTTAAAGAACTTTACGTAAAATTTTATTATCATATACAGTATCAATACAAATTTTTATGAAAAAAACTCCGTCACACCAGGTAGTACTTCTCGTTTAATGTAAGGGCCCAGCTATTCATAAATATATAGTATAGATAATGTGCTCAATTTCATGTGACAGTTGGCGGTACGTAGATCCCAAAAATTTCTATGTAGTCAAAAATGTACAATTTTACTTTTTTAAATCTCAGATTATCGGATTAATAGTGCTGATATCTCCGTTAATCTGAAGAATCTGAGGGTAGAGGTTTTCGGAAGCATCGAAAATGGACTAGTATAACGATAGGTTTTTGCTTGCTTTGTATAACCAATAAATTAAACTGCAAATCTGTAAACCTTATATTTGACTAAAGTAGAGAGTAGTAATTGGATTTAATTTCCCGACATATCGTTGTACATCAATTATAAACAAGTCTTAGAATATCCTATTCTGGAGATATTCTTTAACCAAAGAAACTTGATGAACTTGATATCGCTACGTATTTACATACGTAAGAGTGCACACGCTTACGTAACATGTCATTGTATCTAATCTAATCTAGTACTTGTTAGTATTTTCTTTAATTAAAATCGGACATTGCTTTCAATCTATTCACTAATGATATTCAGCAATTGTATTATTTTAACAATGTAAATTAAATGTGACGCTGGACAAAACTTATTGATCATAGAATTTCCTATATTTGGGATACTAGTGCGATATTTTTTTGACATACCGTAAAGTACCGAATATAAGCAATTCCTGAAAGTAATGAAAGTAAACAATACCTCAATTTTATTGTTAAAATACTAAAAAAATAAAATAAGCAAAGAGTAATTTTTAGTTAACAGATTAAGTATTTCAAAAAGTTACTGAAATTAAGCAACCCTTCTACGTAAAAAAAATCAGCCAAAACGGGTGGCTTAGGGCTGCTTATATTCGGTATAGTATATATATATATATACGTAATATATATATACGTAATATATATATACGTAATATATATATACGTAATGTACTGTAAATATATTGTATATACAGAGTTATGTATTAGATATATACTGTATATATACAAACATGTAAGTTTAAGCTTATTTTTTTGAATCGAAACTTTTTTTTCTTATTCATCTTAACGAAAAAGATCCACATTACATGTATGTCAATGTAGGGAACAACTAAACTTTATTGTGGCCGATTAATCTTTATTTAATTAAAGTTAGCCAAGACTATATCGGTAACAACCTCTTTAGTAGTTATAAATACTTAAAGATAAAATAGCTACCCACAATTAGAAATCACAATTCTGTAGTAAGAATTTGTGACTTGGATTGTCAATAAATTTGCTTTTTTATTCATGGAGTGCCGGACTTTTTCGTTCCGTATTCCGCTACGGCTTATCACCATATCAGATGAGCTTATTATTGACAATTGTTTGACTTTATACATTATAAATATAATGTCAAATGTAAATACTTATTAATTTCTTCTCACGGTCTTTAAGTAAAAATAAAAAAAGCAATTTATTCGGCTCTTTTTTTTTTTATCTTTTCTTTTGATGTTGAAAAGTTTGTATAAACTTTTTTCCAATTTCTATGTAAATAGTAATTAACAGGTAAATTATCATAAAAGTGATTTGACATGGTAGGATTATTTACTATTGTGTGAAAAAGAGTGCAAATTTTATAAACAAATTCTTTTTTTCATGACGACAAAATATATGTAAATTAATGAATATTCAGATATTATCGTCGATCGTGTATAACCTTATTTTTCTAATTTTATTATAGAAATAAAAATGGATAATTCAAACATCTCTAAGATTGATACTTTGGAAGAAGAAGACCAATCGCCACCTTCTCCAACTTCTACCGATTTCGAGATTATTAGTAATTACGAAGATGATATAATAAGCATTTCATCTAGTCATGAAAATTTTGATGAATCATCCGATGAAGAATCAGATTCTGATGATGAAAATCCAGTCGAACTATTAAATGACTCGGATTTTTTGTATTCTGATAGTGACGATAACCAAACAATATACGATGGTGACCTTCCTAGAAAATCCACTTCATCTGAACAACAAAGGTCGTCTGACTTTCTTTCCGATTCAAATTCGTTTGATAATGCTCTATGCGAATCTCACAATCCTAATGATTGGTGTAGCAAATGTCATCCAAATTGGCTTCATAATATGGATGATTCCAATATTAAAAACCTTTCGATTAGCCAATTCTTGTTTAATTGCCAGAAAATATCTCATTGTTCAAGTTGTACTCCCACTTGGTTTAATTTTAAAGGTGGGTTTGAACCGGTTATGAATAACGATGGACTTCTTTTGGCGAAACCGGTTTTCTTGAAACCTGGTTCCAAATCTCTTCCGGGAATTAAATTGAATGTGGTAGCATTGAAAAACATTGGTTTAACTAGTTTTCGTGATGAAATTTACTTCTCAGATGTATGTACTATATTATTAATATATCTTTTGAATATGTTAATCGATTACAGTACGATTCTCGAAAGTTATTTTTCCGACACCGTAATGTCGACATGATATTTCATTTACAGTACACTTTTTCCGATAAGAAATATATTTGTTGTCCGGAGCGAAGTGACGGGCTTATACTTCTATCGCCGAAAAATTACATTTTTGATGAACTGATAATAAAAGGATCAGAAACGTATTTTTGGCATTTTCCGGATGTAACGCCCCTGAAAATTCTGATCATCAATAACTTGATAGGATTTCAGGGGCTAAGTCCAATGAATATTTATTGATATCGCATGTTTTTTACAATCCTTTTCTTAGACAAGACATTCCCCGACATATAATTATCCAACCAACACTAACTCTAAATCGGGCCAATTTTATGTCGAGGAAATGATTGGCCTTAAGAAAAAGATTGCTGAAAACATGTAATGTCGAATATATAATATCTTATCGAAAAAATATGCTCGGAGAAATGAGTTGACGGGAAGTAACTTTCAGGGAATTGAGCGACAACCACGTTAATTTATATTGATATACATATAATTTATCTTTCTATTATTATAGTTATCCAAGTGTAAATCATGTATATACGAATCAGGTCACGTTCTTCCTTACTATGGTGTGACTTTTCATCCTGACAACCTTAGATATATGATTGTGATGCCATTTTTGCCAAATCGCAATTTTAGAGAATATTTGAAACATCCTGATAATTTTAAATCTTTTACTTGGTCACGCAGACTTAGTATGTTACATACCCTTGCAAATGAGTTGGCGAATTTACATAAATTAGGAATAATTCATAAGAATTTACATCCAAATAATATCTTGATTGGCAAGGATATTGAAGATCCGATTATCTCTGATGTTGGTTTAATGCCTCAATTACCTTATAAAAATTCATCTGACGAGTACGTTGTTCATGGTGTTCTTCCTTATATTGATCCCGTGGTTATGACTGGCTCGGATTTCTCCACAAAATCTGATGTTTATTCTTTTGCCTTCATTATGTGGGAAGTTGCTACTTGTTCTTTACCTTATAATGATCTCCCTCATAATAACAAATTGGCTAAGAAAATTGTAGAAGGAAATCGTCCTTGTATTCCTGATCATGTTCCATCTTTTTATGCTGAATTGATTAGGATGTGTTGGGATGCATATCCTGAAAATCGTCCTAGTATGAGAGAAATTGCTGGTATTTTCAATTATTGGAGAAACAATATAACCATTCCCGGCACTAATTATGGTAATTATTATGCTAATCATTATAGAACAAATGAGCATAATAATGTTTACAAAGAATTCCAAAAAGCTGATGAATTTAGACAAGATGATTTTTCTTCTATAACTAGATTTAGTAAACTTCATATTGATGCTAAATATTCTAGTAGCTTTCATAACTTTAAGTTTCCTGAATCAATTGTTACCGGAAATTTATATTCTCATAAACAATCAGTTCTGTCGGCTCCTATTAGGCAACACATAATTCCTGATACTGGTCCCTTAATTACTCCAATTCCTGATCCAATTTATATTTCTCCCGATCAATTTAGTTGCATTAAATGTGACTTAAATTGGGATAATAAATATTGGTGGTGTCAAACTTGTGAAACTTCTAGATTACGTGATAAATTTGGAAGTTGGACGAGCGGAAATAAATATGTTGATCAATATATTCAATATACTCAAACTCTCGCACCTTCCCGTGAAGGTTGTTTGGAATGGATACCATATAGTGAGTTTAAGAATATTAAAGAGATTGGAAAAGGCGGATTTAGTACGGTTTTTTATGCAATTTGGAAAAGTGGTCCAATGATTAAGTGGGATAGATATAATCAACAATATTTTAGGAAGGGTAGTGTTGCAATCGCTTTAAAAAGGTTAAAAGATTCTCAAAATATTGGACCTAGTTTTTTCCAAGAGGTGTGTATAAAATTTTTTTTAATAATATATATTTTTAATAATCATTTTAAATAATTATGTTTTTGATAATTGTTACTCACTGAATGCTAACAAATTTTTCCTTGTCGATCTTTTCAGTTGATCGCACATCTTCATTGCGAATCGAATTGTTTTGTTCTTCGTTGTTATGGAATAACTCAAGATCCTGTAACAAAAGAATATATAATGGTGACTGACTATGCTACTAAAGGTGATTTCCGTACATATATGCGAACTGAATTTCGAGAGCTTAGCTGGGAAAACCAAATTTCTCTCCTTCAAAGTGTCGCACATGGTCTTAAAATCATTCATGATGAAGGATGGATTCATAGAGATCTCCATAGCGGAAACTTACTTCTTTCTCCATCATCAACTAATGAACCAATAGTTATTGGTGACTTAGGAATGTGTCGACCAGCGCGTAAAATTAATAACCCTGAAATTACGATAAATGGAATAATTCCATACATGGCACCTGAATTATTTAGGGGAAAACCATATACTAAAGAAAGTGATATTTATAGTTTTGGTACTATATTATGGGAAGCATCATCAGGTATGCTACCATTTTGTAATATGCCGCATAATACCAAATTAGTATCACAAATTAGAGATGGTTTACGACCAGAATTAGTAGAAGGAACTCCAAATCATTATGCGGAATTAATGTGGAGATGCTGGGATAGTGAACCTTCTTTAAGACCTAACGCAGCTGAAGTTGAAACGATTTTAATAGCTTTACGATGTCGTTCAACTGAAGTAATTTATCATGATGAAAGAAGTGATTCAATGTATACAGGAGGGTTTAGACACATTAATGGAGAAGGCATGTATAATGATTGTAATATACATAGCCAAGCTATTTATGAAAGTAGATGTTTCAAAGTTACACAACTTTTGAAAGAGATCGAAAACCTATCGGTTGATGATGGTCTAGAGCAAGAAAAAAATGAAATAGATTCGTTGTTGGCTGATTTAAATTTCTCATAATTCAGTCAAAATTTTTTGTATCTAGAAATTAAAAGTTGGATTAGTTAATAAAATTCATGTATTGGGAGTGCCAATTACCGTTTAACACTACTTATACTGTAGTACCCGGAGCCTTATTCGAAGACCTTCATTTTTATAATTGATTATATAATATTATATAGTTTTTTCGTAAAAAAAAAAAAAATTTTAAGCGTATACACACACTATATGTAGGTAGTATGAATTTTGACATATTCGGTTGAGTTACATCCGGGACTTATGGCAGATTGCAGTATAAGCAGTGCTTTTAAACTATAACGATAAATATCAGAATTTGTAAAAGTTGTATTATTATTTATTATTGTATAATATTAGTAGAATCCATATTGTTTTTAAGAAATATTTATTTCTTGCAGCTTCATTTGGATTCATTTCAAATTATAAATAAGCAATATTTTGTTTTATGTATATAATTGCTATGCGATATATTATTTTTGTATTCCTACAGATTTTAAAATTAAAAAAAAATCTATTAGGGAGTTTCAAAATTAACAAATAAATAGCGTATTTCGAAAATAAATAGGATATTTTTCAATAGCATTTTACTATGTTGAATTATAAATCTCTGATTTAATTTTGAATCCACACTTTTTCAGATTGGTTTGGATAAATAAAAATTCTTTTGGATCTATGGTTTTATTTCAAAAAAAAAAACCATATAGTAAAAATTTGGTTTCTAAAGTTATTGGATAGGATTTCAGTGTACTACCGGTAGTACTTTGTACTCAATTGTGACACACTTTAAAAGTAAATTCTAAAAATTTTAAAAATTAATTCTGTTTTAAACAACTTTATATAGTTTGTTAGGTATTTGGCTCTGCAGAAAAAAAGTTTAATAAATTTAAATAGCATTTTTGATTTTTTAGAATTTTTTTTTTGGTCTGAATATTTTAGTTTAGGCTAATTTTACATAGCAAGTACTATATAAAGATTATTTTAAATTTTATATTAAAAAATAGATATGATTTTTTTAAAATTTAAAGTAATATAATTTAAGATAAATTAATTTAATATCAATTCATATCGGCGGATTTGTGGAATTTGATAAATAGAAAAACCCATGAGCCGTAACTTGGTCAAATTTGCAGATTATTGGGCTGGGTTTGAAATTATTTGACTTCAAAGCTGGACAAATGATCTGCAAATTTGACCAGAGTTACGGCTCATGGGTTTTTCTATTTATCAAATTCTACAAATTCACCGATATGTAAATTTTATAATTAGAATTAGATAGTTATTATTTATAACTTTTATTAAAAAATTTTTTTAACTATAGCTAATTAAAGAGCTTATATGAATTATTAAAAATAGTAATAATTTTTTATTATTGTAATACAAAGCTTATAATACAAGCTATATTTTTTATTATATAACTAGTAATAATTTTTTATCTATAATAAGTTCTAAACCTTTTTTATATAATTCAAATTAGTGCTACAAATCGTTAAAAATTTTGCAATTGATTAGTTGTCAACTTTTTGATTATTTGATTTTTATTTGATTTTAATATGAGTTGCCAAAAATTTTTCAATCAATTAGTTGTGATTTTCAATTTTTGATTTGTAGCACTAATTCAAATTTATTTTATAAAATTATTTAATAATTTTAAGAATAAAATTGCTTTGAATAGTATACTACAATATATATATAAATATATTTATTTTTTTATATTTATTTTTTTTAACAGTCATGCCTTTATTTATGAATCTTGTGTAACTATTATATGTTAATACAACAATTTTTTATGAATGTGATTATATCCAATAAAAACTACCCAAGCATACTGCCCAAGTCAACCTGTCATAACAACTATTTGCTTCTCTCAAGATCCAAAACTTTCTAAGGATTTTGTACTATAAAGATACTCCCTTGATACTTCACTAGCTGTTGTATAGCCTATTCATAACTGTTAAACTTTCTCTTCTAATTCTTCCTTCTTCTCAAGAGGCACGAGACAAAAGGAGAAATTTTCAAAAAGGTTGTACAAAAATGAAAAAAAAAGAAAAAACAGAAAAGAAAGAAAAAACAAGCACAAATTGCAAAAAAGAAAAAACAAAAAGAAATATAACAATCTATGAAGCACTATTATAACCTGTGCCAGGCAAGTATAAAAATTGTATCCTTTAACTGTAAAGCAATTCCAGACAAATTTGTCTGGAAAATTACTATAAATTTGTTTATGATTTACTTTTTTTAAAATTTAAAATATTTAAATAAAATTTTTTTTGATAATATTTAAAAATAAGAATTATATTATAGT